CTTTGTTTCCCACTATTGTTGATGCCCTGGCATACTATACTAACTAGACAGTGATTCCTTAAATTAACCGTTATGTATTGATAAGCTCGGAGAATTTCACGGTCAAACAAATACAAAAAATAGTACTAATTTATATTCCCTGAATACATGAATTTATATTGTCAATACAAACATTAAATAAATCTTATGAATATACAAGTTACCAACGAAGTAGAATCCCCATAAAACAATAAAATTTTGCTTGTTCACGAACATTGACCCACCACGGATGAAAATGAATTCGGAGTAGATTATTTATGTTCACGAGTTGAACTTTAGTCAAAGTTTTGTTTTATGCTCGTTCATTATTTGGCCTCGATATACTCTACAAGTACATGAAGTAAGATCCAGATTCAGAGTAAAATTGTATTTTCAGGTCATAAAACATAAATATTTGAAAAAATTGTTGTCCTAAAACATCTTCTAGTACGCACCTTCCCATGCTTAAATTACTTATTCTGATTTGTTCTCAATGTCTTTCCATAACAGTTTTCTAATAGAAAAGTGATAAAAAAATTACATTATAATTTTTATTTTCAAGAACAATAGTAATCTTGTTGCATCATGGACTACTGGTGTTTTAGCTGCTTCTCTTTATTTTTTCTCAAACCAACACTTGCTTGGTTTAGGACCGATTCTCCTTCCTGTACATTCACAACGATATGCTTTCTTTCTCAGAGGACATTTTGAATTCCTCTTTATACAACTTCCGGTATTGTAGCCAAGACATCTGCAGCGCTGTGGACAGGAGGGCCATAGTTTTCCAGTGAGAAAATAGCTCCATCGAGTACAACTACTCCAAGTGTCAAAGCAGTCTCCGATCAATCCTCCTTCAGTCTGTGGACAATTCGATACAAGAAGCAGGAAAATCATGGCTGATGCACCTAAGATTATCTTTCCAGCAGCCATTTTTTTATTTTCTGAAATGAAATGTTTATTTTCTGGAATTAAAGGTATATATGATTGGAAAATGTTATGATTTATATTGGTAAATAAAATTCAAATGAAAAGAAATGAAATGTTCATTTTCAATTTCTAGTTTATCAAATATATTCTGCAATGTGACTTTTTTGAATAGAGAGCAGAGAAAAACAGATGGACTAAATTAATATCTTTCAGAAAGAACACAATAATATGCTTGTATTAAGAATCTTTATCTTCTTGTCGACAGATACAAACAACTTTCGAGTAAATTTAGCTCTAAAAATAAGCATAATTATAATTTTCTGTCAAACAAACTTTCTTGTCAAACATCTTGAAGACATTTTCAAATGAATCACATGTCAAGAATTTTCTTAAATCAAATCGTTCAAACATTTTGCTAAGTTACATCCAATTTCAGCTTTTAAAATATCGATAGGATATTTCTTTTCAAGAAACAAATGATATTATAATAATATTATTTAGAATATACAATATAATTTTTCTACCCTGGCTATACTAAAATTTCTATTCTACAATCAAGTTTTCGGTATTGCATTTACCTTATCTTGGTTCTTTTACTGGAAACTGACTCAAAGCTTTGGATGAAGTTCTCTTTTATACATGTTTAAATATCCCGAGGATGCACTTTTTGGAAAAGAACAACAGATTTAAATACGCATACATTTAACCAGGAAATCTGATTAATTAATTTTGATTGAAAAGGTCTATGCAATTTCGTGAGCATTAGCAAATATGGAGACGAAACAAGACCCTAAAGAGAACATGCAATTTTATTCAATAAACAATATTCCAGTTTTTTTTTTTTATTTTCAGAGAAAGAAAAATCCTTATTTATTTGTTGTACTAGTATATTATGAACACTTTAGTTCTCTCTTTAAGAGCCTTAAAAACCTTTAATTGTTAAATAATATGGCAAGAACAAAGAGCTACGCATACTTACTCTCGACCATTTCAAAATAAATGGAATTTAGCGATTGTGTCTTATTTGAAGCAAAACAGAGTTCATTATTTAAAAAACAAAAATTGATTATTTTAACACAAGAGTGGGTCTTATTGCTCACCTGAGCACATAAGCTAGTTAAAAACACAAATCAGCTCAGAATGAAAAGTATATTTGTTGGGGGAGGTGGTGAATTTTCTATTACTTGAGAATGTCACTATATCAATTAAGTATGCATGTGTAATTTTGCCATACTTGAAAAGAAGATTTTTAAACATTTTTCAAAATATTTCTTGATCTCCGATTGTAATCCCTTTAATCCCCGCGGGACAATTATTTGATTAAATTTAAATTTTCACTACTTGCAGATGCTAATATGTCAATTTGACTAAAAAAAACTTTTCTGTTCTGGAGAAGAGTTTTTTCCATTATATTCGTATGCAAAACTTTTATCCTTCATTGTGGATCCGCCTTACCCCCAGGGGTCATGATTTGAACAAACTTGAATCTACCCTACCTGAGGATGCTTCCACATGACTTTCATCTTTTTAAAAAGATACCATTTTCCTTTAATTCATAATTATCTCCCCTTGGAAGAGAACGTGACCCTTCCTTTGAAGAAACTTAAATTCCCTTCACCCAAGGATACTTTGTGGCAAGTTTGGTTGAAATTGGCCCTGTGGTTCTTGAGAAGATGAAAATGTGAAAAGTTTACGACAACGACGCCAACATCAACGACGATGACAGACAGCGGACAAATTTTGATCAGAAAAGCTCACTTGAGCCTTCGGCTCTAATTTGAAATGGGTTACTGAGTATACGTCAACTGACGATTTTATGTTGTTTTCTGTAATCACATGTTCTCTGTCGTGAAACAAGGAAAGTTTTGGTCTGAAACTATTGAATAACAATTTTTGATTCTTGTAAAAAAAAAAGAATATTTTTTCATGAGGGATGATTTGAAAATATGTTTCCGTTACTTTGATAGTGATAACAAGTTTTACAAATATTTCAGAGATTTCTAGTTTCTGTTTTTTCCCCAAAAAGTTATGTTTGATGAAAAATGACATAATATAAATTTGAAAAATACGCGTTAGCTGTTTGTTATTGATTTGTATTGCTGATTCATGTTAGCGACAGAACGATACTATCGTTCCGCGTTTCTGATATTGATTTTCTATCGTTTGTCTGTTGTTTAATGAACATTTTCGGAATCTCATACACCTGACACCGTACTACGGACTGAGGACTTTCGAACAAAAGACCGCTTTCAGGGAATGTATAGAAATGCGTTTTCGGTCTTTCTTAAAGCTGCTTAATCCGAAACAGGCACATATTATGTACTGTTCAATGCCCAGAGAGAGATTGAGAAATTGTAAATGCGTATGTCTTTATTCAACTTCATTCATAGGAACATTCGCTCATAGGTTTCATCATATGTCAAAGTTCTCATACAATCCATAATACATCATCACATGACTGACATCATACGATTCATCATACGTTTCATCATACGTTCATCATACGTTAACATACAATTTACGAATAAGTAGTTTTTCCCCACTTCCAGAGATGCATTGAACAAAAGTACAGACCAGAGAATGATACCTTCCAGCGAATGTCACTGCTCGTGCAGTACTCAAGAATATTATGTGTACCCAAAAATTTATGACGTAATACACTGACATAATGGCGCTAAAATTTGAACATGAGTAAAATGGCTATAACAACCCAGCCCCCTAATTGTGGACAAAGTGACACAATTACTTCCAAAAAGCTGAATTCAAAACAATTTTCATACAATGTTTTGATAAAAAATCTATGACAAAAATTTACCATGTAGAACAAATATTGTCAAATCATGATACCTGCATAAATGTACAAAATTCCAAAATAATCCTAACAGAGTCCAAAAAATATACAAATTCTGCAGAAATTTATCCATTTCTAGAATAAGACACAATTTATCTACAGGACGTATTAAACTGTTCGTTGAAGTTTTAACTCTGACTTGACGCACAAAACCTTTGTCATCAGGGGGTCGTAACATAAAGGCTACTTAAGTCTTAGACCGTGCTTAAGTAGGACTTAAGTACAGTCTAAAACTTAAGACCGTAACTGGAAGCGTACTTAGCTTTGGCAATCTTAGCAAAACTTAGGCGGCCGGTAGAGGTGACTTAAGTATATCTTAACTTTCTTGTACATATTTTTAGAATTATTTAATGTTGACTTTCGATGTTTAAAGTTTCCTCTATTCATATTATGCATTAAAGAAAATAATTATCTATATTTGACGCTGATTTAAGAATTTTATTTTGTCGTTGGGAGGGGGGTGGTGTGATCACTGATCCCAATTTCACTCACAGCACAGCACTGGGCTAGCATACATGTAAATACAAAATTTAATTTTAGGGATACGTCTGAAATTAGTAGGACTTCGGTTATAGAAATATCCCAATTTTTGTTTTGTAGCCTTGATTATAAGTGTACATGTGTATATCATTAAACTTCTGCAGTTTTTGCTTCTGACATGCATGGCATTATACATAGCGGGGATTCAAAATGTATCGAACTTTTTAGAGTTTCAATTTCAAGTGAATAGGCGGTCGGTTATTTTTCTTGTCTGCGATAATAACAGGGTAAGTGAACATTTATCAAAACAAAAGAGTTACAAGAGGTAAACTGAAAACACCTCAGGTGATAAAACAACTGTCGTGAACATTTACAATGAACCACAATTCACCACTTTCTGACCGTGCAGTATTTGTTTTCAAATATTCCAAATAGTTTATAACATAATAATAATTTTAATACGAAATCTAATCTAACATAACTTAAACCGATATATAAGGACGTCAACTTTAACATGTAATTAATTAAAACCCTAACTCAATCACATTTTGCAATATATCTATATAAAATCAAAAAATATAGGTTGACTCATGTGAAATATTTTTAACATAAGTCTGACTTAGCTAGACCTAGCTTAGTTCTCTTTATGTTACGGTTTAAGACATACTTAAGCAGTACTTAGACAGGTCCTAAGATTGTGCCTAAACCGTACTTACGACCCTACTTAAGTCAAAAACTTAGCAAGTTTTATGTTACGAGCCCCTGGTAAAGTTTCTTGAATGATTCCTATAGGCCATGAATTCCTCGGAGCATTAGAATCGACAACCAGAATGATATCACCCACTGTGAAGTTTCTTTTTTCTTCACACCATTTCTGTCTCTCTTGAAGTAAGGGTAGATATTCACGCGTCCAGCGTTTCCAGAAAAGGTTTGCCATGTACTGAATCTGCTTCCAGCGTCGTCTACAATAGTTGTGTTCTTTCACAAAAACACCAGGAGGAAAGTTGGGTTTTGCTTTCATTATCAGTAAGTAGTTCGGTATTAAGGCCTCCAGGTCATCATGTTGATCTGAACATTTGGTAATGGGTCTTCCATTCAAAATAGACTCGATTTCGCACATCAAGGTATTGAGTCCTTCGTCATCCAAAACCTGTTCTTTCAGTACACTATTCAAGGTTTTTCTGACGGATCTGATTATTCTTTCCCAAACTCCCCGATGGTGAGATCCCGCAGGTGGATTAAATTTCCAGTCAATATTCTTCTGTAGCATAGAATCTTCAATCTGAGACACATTCAGTTCGTTGATGGCACTCCTTAACTTCCGCTCAGCTCCTACAAAGTTGGTACCATTGTCTGATCGCATCCTGACAACTTGACCTCGGCGAGCAATAAAGTGACGTAGTGCGTTGATGTATGAGTCGGTGTCCAGAGATGCTGCTACTTCTAAATGAACTGCACGACTGGTCAAACATGTAAATAGAACTCCATATCGTTTCACATGACTTCTCTTTTGCTTCACGATAAATGGTCCAAAATAATCTACACCTACTCTGGTGAATGGTGGTTCATCTGGGATCAGTCTATCTTCTGGTAAACTGGCCATCTTTTGTTCTCCAACACTTGATCCTTGACGACGACATATTGTGCACTTTGAGACAAGTTTACGTATTGCTGAAGCTGCATGAACTAGCCAATATTTCTCCCTCAAAACTGCCATCATATGGTTTCTACCGCTATGTTTCAAGTCTTCATGGATTTGTCTGAGAATCAAAGTCGAAATGTGATGGTTCTTGGGTAAGATAATAGGATGTTTACATTCAATTGGCATATTGGCTCTCTGAAGTCGTCCTCCTACCCGCAAAAGTCCATCTTTATCCAAAACTGGGTCGAGTTTTTGTATATAACTGTTTCGCTTCACATGCGAGTTTCCTTCTGCAAGAGTACTCAGTTCATCACAGAATCTTTCATGTTGTACATAACGCAAAATGGCGATTTCAGCTTTCTGTAAGTCATGAAGCGAAATGAGACATCTGGTAGGGATCCTGCTTTTTCATTAGATGATGGGTTGTCAATAAGTTTATTTCGTTGAATACGATGAAGTAATTTGCTGCGGATCTTCAAAATCCATGCTACGGTTTTCCTTAGCGTATACCAAGAAGAATGATGGTTGATAAGTTTCTCAACACCCATCAGGTCAACACTTGGTTCTACCTTGTGTATATCAGCTACTAATGCTCTTACTGATGCTTTTTTTACTTCCGGATCATCTAGTGTTTCATTCAAATTTTCTGTAGGTACTTCTGGCCAACAATCGACAGAAGTCCATAGAAATTCTGGAGCTTGGATCCAGCGTCCTTGCTGCACTATTTCATTTGCTGAAAGTCCTCTTGAAGCATAATCTGCAGGATTGAGTTTGGTATTAACATATCTCCATTCCTGTGGTGTTGATCCTTCATGATTAACAGCAAGTCTGTTAGCTACAAATGTGTGAAATCTTGATGTTTCATTTCTAATGTAACGTAACACAGCCATACTGTCTGTCCAGAAAACACTTTGGTCTATAGGAATGTCTAATTCTGCTTTTAGCATTTTATCGGTACGCACGGCAACTGTTGCTGCTGTCAGTTCTAGTCTTGGGATACTTGTTTGCTTCAAAGGAGCCACACGCGACTTTCCCATTATGAAAGAACAATGGACATCGTTGTTCACATTTTCCAATCGCAGATAAAACACAACCCCATAACCAACTTCACTGGCGTCCGAAAAATGGTGCAATTGGGCAGAACACACTGTTCCAAATCCAAAAGGTTTAACACATCTGTCTATCCTAAATTCTGAAAACTTCTGTAGGTCACAAAACCAGCTGTTCCACTGGTCAGAAATTTTCTCAGGTATGGTATCATCCCATCCAAGATGAATTCTACTTAACTCCTGAAGTATTTTCTTTGCTCTCAGCACGAACGGTGCCAGAAATCCCAAAGGATCAAAAACACTACTTATCATGGATAAGATTCCTCTTCGTGTAAGGGGTTTCTTATTAACGTCTATGTTGAAACGGAATGCATCTGATTACATTCACCACTGAACTCCTAAGGCTCTTTCAATCGGTAGTGCATCATAATCTAAGTCGAGGCCCTTGACTTCTTTTGCTCGCTCTGAGATTGGAATTGTCATCATGACATCTCTGTTGTTGCTTATCCACTTTGAAATGTGAAATCCTCCCCGAGTAAGAAGTCTTGGTATATCCTTAATTAAGTCGATAGCACAATCAACAGTCTTGACGGACTTAAGACAGTCATCAACATAAAAGTTCTTAAACACAGTGTTGATGATCTCAGAATCAAAGAGTTCTTCAGAATCTCTAGCAGTTTTTCTAAGAGCGTAATTAGCACAACTAGGCGATGATGATGCGCCAAACAAGTGTACTACCATCTGATACTCTACGATCTTCTTAGTTGTGTCTCCATCTTCCCACCACAGAAATCTAAGGAAGCTTGCATCTTGTTTTGGTACATGAACTTGGTAAAACATACTGTCTATGTCTCCCATCACTGCAATCTCCTCTCGTCTGAATCTCAATAGTGTACCCACAAGTGAACTAGTTAAGTTTGGTCAAGGTAAAAGTTGATCATTTAATGATGTGCCTTGAAATCTAGCTGCACAATCAAACACCACTCTCAATTTTTTTTTCTTTGAATGATACACTCCATGATGTGGCAGGTACCAAACTTTGCCATCTACTTGCTCTGCATCTTCAATTGGAACTTTGACAGCATATCCTTCGTTCATAATCTTGTTCATAAACTCACAATATTCACTGTGAAAGTTTTCATCACGATTGAATCGTTTTACAAGAGACGAAAACCGTTGTTCAGCTTGCTTCTTGTTGTTTGGTAATCTGACATCATTTGACTTAAATGGAAGTCCGATTTGATAATGTCCATCCTCAAAACAAATAGACTTTGATACAAGATCTAGAAACTTCCTGTCATCTCTGGATGGCTCATGTATGTCATCAATTGTCTTCTCACTGAAGTCGTCGTTAAACTGGTTACGAATCTGCTCTTCTAGCCTCATTGCGTCAATGCGATTGATAGATACACACAAATTACTGTCGTCATTTGGAGTCACTTCCAGTGGCCCATTGATGACCCAGCCTAGTAAGGTTTTCACTGCAAAGGGACCATTTTCTGCAATAGGAATAACATTCCACGGCTCTAATGCCTTTGGTGCATTGACACCAATCAAAAGTCCTACATCACACTCAATCACATTCAAGTCAATGTCATGGAAATGTGGCCATTCTTTTAAGTCTTCTGGAGAAATCACGTCCTTTCTGGACACTGGTAATGTAGACTGCGTAAAGACAGGCGGCAGTTCAAATGTATTTTCTCCGTGAATATCACTTACTTCCAAATCTGATATGACGTAAGTGTCTTGGACTTTTTCTTGTCCCATGGTAACGAGGTTCAACTTTGTTCTCTTTCCCTCAATGTTTAAGGAATGCGCAAGAGTCTCTAAACAAAACGTAGCGTTGCTTCCTGAATCTAGAAAGGCATTTGTTGTCACATATTTGTCACTGTACTTGGACTTTAGTCTAACAGGCACAATGGGTAATGCCTGCTTCACAGTTTCTCTAGCCCCCTTATGAGCAGCCACCGACAAAGCTGTTGCTTCATTGCCATCTCCATCACTTGAATTCTTTCGGCTGTCATCTTTCTTCTGTGGATTGACATGGAGAATAGTAGGATTAAGTTTTTGACAATGACTACACAAGTCAATTTTTGTTTGCAATTAGTCTTGAGATGTCCGGGTCTTAGACATGCAAAACACAAGCCCTTGGACTTTAGAAATAAATATCTGTCTTTCAAGGATACATTCACATACTTTCTACATACATCCAGTGAATGACCTCCATTACAAAATATACAAGGATCCGAGAAAACACATCCTGGCCATGCGCCTGACTGAACATTTTTTGATGATTCATTCATAGTAATCGCAAAGTTTTTGTGTGTCCCGGAAAACTTTACTGATTTACCAGGTTGACTACGCTGTCCATCTTGAAAACCTTTGGTTGTTGTTTTAGTGTTGCTTGAAATATCTCTTCCATAGATGGGATCTGTAGCTTTCTTCGCCTCTTTATAAACAAAGTAGACAAGATGTTGGAATTTCATGATCTGATGTTTTTCTTTAACGTCATACACCACGTTTCTCCATTTCTCATGTAAGTAGTATGGTAACTTTTTCACTAGCAGTTTTAAGTTTTCTGAATATTCCAAAACTCTAGCCGCTTCAACGTTTTCGATAGCAAACTGACACTCTTTAAGAAAAATGCCATAAGCGTCCAAGGCCTTTGCATCATCAGTCTTTATAACTGGCCACTCTAGTGCCTTTTTCACATACGATTGAGCTAATATATCAGCATCCCCATATCTGTCCTTAAATTCGTCTAACGCTGCTTTGAATCCATGTTCTGCATCCATATGTAAATATCCTAATACAATCTTGTGTGCTTCACCTGAAGTATATTGCAACAGGTAATTCAAACGTTCTTCAAAGGAGTCTGTATTTGAAGAAATTCTTGTGTTGAACTGTCTCAGGAATCTCTTGTAATCTATCGGATTTCCATCAAAGGTTTGAATAATCGACCTTGGCTTGTTCAGTTCTCGCGCAACGGTCAAGATTCCATGATCACTATTGGTCGATGTCTGAATTGGCACTGAAGAAGATGGTTGCGAAGACACAAAATGCGGCACAAGGTTATAACTGACATGAAGAGCTGGCGTCTGAGGTGGCGTAGGAATATACGCATTGTACGTATCTTGAGGTACGTTTCTTGGTAACGGTTCATGTGAAGTGTTTTGAAATGTATACGTATACTGAGGCACATGTACGTAAGGTGTACTCTGAGGTAAAAATGTAGACTGAGGAACATGTACATAAGGTGCATTCTGTGGTTGACACATATAAGATGTTTCATGTGAGTATAAAGATTTTCTTCTGTCTTCCCATGGTGGTGCACATGGATTTAATATTGCAGTTTCTTTTGTTTCAGGTTTGTCACTTGCATGATCTTTAAGAGATTCTTCTAAGTCCAAATTCCTCATAACATTCCTTTCCATTTCTTCGATAATTTTAGTTTTCGCATCCGTTATTTCTATTTCTGTTTTTATTTCAAGTTCTTCTTCTTGTAGTTTCAGTTGTAGTTTAGCTTCTTCCAATTCCTTTCTTTTTGGTAATGCTGAGGCTCTGGCAACGAGTTCTGCTTTCCGCTGTTGTTCTTTTAACTTTTCCATGGAAAGATGACTTGAAGAAGAACTTGTACTGGGTTTGGACCGCACTGATTTATTGTCAGGTGTTGTGTGTCGCAAGATCCAATCCTCTACAGAATCTTTTAGAGCTGTGAATCTTCTATTTATAGACTGAAAATTCTCATCATCCTCGATTTTCTCAGATGGTGTCAAATACATCAAATCTTGATATTCCTTATGTGACACAATCAAATCCTCGTGTATCTGCATCCATTTCTTATACTCATTTTTAACTGTATCTTTGCTCGGATTTTCCAGCAGTAATAGTTCTATATTATCACTTACTTTGGACAGTTTCTGGTCACAACGTCTTCTAAACTTTAACTTTTGTTGCATTTGGTAAAAAGTCCTTTCTAGGTCATCACTCTGTGCCTCTGTCCTGGTTGCTCTTCTGTATCACTTTCTTCTGCATCACACATGGCTGTTGATACTTATTCGTAAATGATGTACTGTTCAATGCCCAAAGAGAGATTGAGAAATTGTAAATGCGTATGTCTTTATTCAACTTCATTCATAGGAACATTCGCTCATAGGTTTCATCATATGTTATAGTTCTCATACAATCTATTATACATCATCACATGACTGACATCATACGATTCATCATACGTTTCATCATACGTTTCATCATACGTTCATCATACGTCAACATACGATTTACGAATAAGTAGTTTTTCCCCAATTCCAGAGATGCATTGAACAAAAGTACAGACCAGAGAATGATACCTTCCAGCGAATGTCACTGCTCGTGCAGTACTCAAGATAATTATGTGTACCCAAAAATTTGTGACGTAATACACTGACATAATGGCGCTAAAATTTGAACATGAGTAAAATGGCTATAACATATTATCTTACATAATAAAAGTACTTCATGACATAGAAAATGTATAAAAAATAAATTATGATTGATTTAATAGTTTATTACTACAATCCTTACAAAGAAAACATAGATCAAAAACCTTTTGGATTAGATAAACAATAAGCAGTATGCATGATTATCTAAGAAATAATGTTAAGAAGGTTTAAATACTCTAGAATTTTGTAGGTTTGCAAGAGGTTAATTGTATCTTCATAAAAATAATTAATAATAATATTCTATTCGAATAGTAGAATTGCAATTATCAATTTTAAAAGGAAATGCAATACGTAGCTCTCTGGGTATATTCGTTAAATTACGCTCTTGAAATGTTCCCTAACCTGTAAAGTCCGCAGTCCGTAATACGTTGTCAGGTGTACGTGATTCCGAAAATGTTCAATAACGCCGCCACTTGCTGTGATGCTGGAGGGCTACAAATTTAGGCCTATACTCAGCACTTACTTTTTACTACATTACGGACAAATTTTAAATTTGAAGACCTTGAAGCAAATGTCGTAGCTCAATTAGGTAGCATATTTAGCTCTTTAAAGAGTCATACGTTATATTTTAAAATACATATATCAAACTCATAATAGCATAATATCTGTATGGTTTTATTTTTAGCCCTCTGGCTGATGATCATTCAGTATGTAATACAATAAAATAGAATTAATGTAATTTTTTTTTTACAAACAGTATATCACAGTTTATTTGATGGAATAGTCAATGACAATAAATGTTTTTAGTAAATTTAACTTTTGCAAAAAAGATATTAAAAAGTTTCTTCTTATGGTCCATCATTTTTTACACAGTTTGAAAAAAAAAAGAGA